CTTCACCTTGGGGATCGCCAACACCTTCAGTGCAATCCTTGTAACCATCCTTATGAGTTCTGTTGTTGTCCGTGGCCAATTAGCTCCTCGATATCGAGATTAAAAAATCAGTGATTCAGCGTCAATGGTGTATCAGCGTCAAATCCTGTTTGGAGCGGAAAAGCGTGGTCCGTTCTTGCTTTTTTGGAGCGTCAACTCTCGCTTTTGCCGCTCTGGCGGCAAGTTACTATGGAGATTCGGATTATAATCCTAGGGTTATTTCGATTTTGCCGCAGTCTGACCAGCCCTTATGCGACCTTGTGTCAAAATGACCAAAATATGCGAAAATATGCACAAGCATATTCGGGCACTCCCTAAACAGAGCAGCTGCACAAATATGAAGAGGCCGATTAATTCGAATTGCGATTCCGCGTATCTTTTGAATGTATTGTTCCATAATCATGTTTGTACTCCAAGTAGTAAAGAAAAAAGGATTAATTAACTACAAGTCACGCTATAATTATCCACTAACACCACCAGTTACTAAACAAGCAGCTCATGCGATGACATTGCGCGACACTGACAGACGGTACTGACGCTCTACAACTAACTGGCTAACAGCTCTAGCACATCTTGGATGCGCACTCCAACAACCTTCCAACTTGGAAGGTTCTAAGTTATCGGAATAAAATAAGGAAGGGAAGGTGAGCTCAACGAAGACAAGCACGAGCTGAAAGTCTAAGCTGTGAAGGACGTAGGCGGATGTTAATGCATGTCGATGACGATACTGGCAAGACGACTGGAAAATACGGTCAAAGCACGATTCAAAGACGCAAAGCAACATTCCACACAACTTGTGTGGATCAAAGATGCGAAGATCAATAAAAGGGGAAGCTCTGCGAACATGAATCATGCAAAACCGAATGCCTCACAATTTAGATGGACAATAAGCAGCGGTAAAAAGTTACCGCAGCTTATTGACTTGTTACCGCTGCTTATTGTCCATCTAAATTGTGGAAGCACAGTACTGTTTTACTGCTTTGCGTCCTTGAATCATGAATCGTGGTTTGACCGTATTGTCCCGTGTTGTCTTGGTTGCGCTCACCTTCCCCTCCTCAAGTTATTTCTATAACTTAGAACCTTCCAAGAAATTTAGTTGGAAGGCTGGTGAAGTGCGCATCCAAGATGTGCAAGAGCTGTTAGCCAGTTAGTTGTAGAACGTCAGTACCATCGGTCAGTGTCGTGCAATGTTATCACATGAGCTGATTGTTTTAAGTAACTGGTGGTGTTAGTGGACAATAGCGTGGCTTGTAGTTTATTGGTCCTTTTTTAATTACTATCAATTTATCCTTGGCTCTCCATCCGAGTCAAATCATGTTTGATGTGTCTTTACTATCTCCGATAATATGTGAGCATTATAATACCGTTATATAGGGCATTACAAAAGCATTATCTAAAGCATTCTAATGGGCTAGGCCCAAAAATTTGGTGAACAGGTATATTTTTATATATAGTAGAACTAACTGTGCAGCGGGGAGACCATGGTCCAGTGTTTAGGAAGCCTAATGTGTAGATTGAGGGTATAAATTTATAAATGCGTAAAATAATTTACAGAATGTATCGTATACAACAAGTACCAAAAAAAACCACCGTCAACGGATCAAGGCATACTCTCGAAGGTCTCAGTTTCATGCGTGGTGATGAATGATTCATGTATTACACCATGCTAAAACGCCATGCTATACAGCAGTGTCTGAAGTCCTTATCCCCTCGTTGGAGATCCGTCTGTAGGGGAAAGAAGGATCAAACACAAGAAAATACTCACACGCATGTCCAAATTTTTGCAAGTAGCTTCTGCTGTTCCTTTTTGTATTATTTTTAATTTTTTCACCTTGTCATGTCCCTTCCTCCCTCTCTCATAACAGCCACCTTCACTTCCTTTCCCCAGGAGACTCCCTTTGATAGGCATCGATTTGCCTCTTGAGAATCCTTGAAGAAAATATAATATCAATAATAATATCAATTTGGCGCCCAGTGTGACAATAACTGAATAACAGTTTTATACAAATAATCTACGTGGAGATAATGATTTTAATATAGCTATGAATAGGATGAAGGCCGCAGACATCACGCAACTACGTTACTTGTTTGACATGTATTACAGAACAAGTAACGTCGTTGCGTGATGTCTGCGGCCTTCATCCTATTCATAGCTATATTAGAACAAGAGTAGCTTGTTTCACGTCGGAACTTTCAATGTTCGTGGACTAAATTCAAATTTGAAAAAAAATCAACTTATTTGTGACCTAACAAGATATGGAGCTGAACTCTGCTGCCTGCAAGAGACGAAAATCTCTCAGGGCTTCGATGGAATTATTGATAATTATCGACTCCTGTGTCTTTCGTCGACCTCTCGACACTATGGACTTGGATTCGCCGTAAAAATAAGTTTACTGCCCCGAATTCACAGATACTGGAGTATCTCTGACCGGATTGCTGTGCTGCAGCTATGGCTGTCCGATAGAACTCTGTGCTCGTTTATCAACGTTTATGCACCAACATCTGGACGCGTTGCGGAGGACCCTGCCTGTCTGGATGAATTCTACAACAGTTTATTGGAGACAATTCAGAAGCTTCGATCATCAGCCATGCTTTTCGTGATAGGTGATTTCAATGCAAAAGTTGGAAAACGTTCCGTTACAGCTACGGGGAGACATGATTTGTCGTGCTGCGGAGCACACTCAAGAGGCCGCCGCAATTACAGTGGACAGGTTCTGACTGACTTTGCGTCGGACAACCACCTGTTTGCTTGCAACACTGCATTCCAACACCGTGCGGCACATATCACAACATGGACAGGATGGCGTCACAACCCAGACGGTGGTTCAGCAATACCCATATACAACCAGATCGATTATATATTCTGTCGGAATAGTGAGCGTTCTGTGGTGGAAGATGCGAGGTCATATGCGGGGACAAAGATGGAGAGTGACCACCGCCTTGTCCTCGCTAAAGTCAACCTGACCAATCTTTACAAGAAATTGAATGCGCCATGCATATCAAGGGAGACCAATGACAAATTCAGTGTATCTGAATTCAGTGACTTGAGCAAGAGGGAGGCATACCAAGCGGCAATCGAGCGGGGTCTGGAATTGACATGCCGTGAGATGGACAACATGGGTGTTGAGGAGCATGCCCGGAAGCTCACCGGCATTATGAAGGAGTCAGCTGCATCATCCATTGGCATAGTACCAAAAAGAAGAAAAGTACATACAAATGGCTATAACAATGCCATTGAACAGCTAGCCGAGAAAAAACGCAAGTTACGTTTGGATCTCACTAACTGCAAAAACGCTGGGAAGATTTCTGAGATGAAGCAAGAACGCAATCGCATTTCACACCAGATTCGGCGGGAATGCCTCAAGATGGCATCGAGCAGGCTTGATGAACGAGTGGGAGAAATAGGAAGAATAAAGAATGACGCAAAGATGTTCAAAGCAACCCAGCTACTCCGTCGTCAGAAACAATCACCGGTTATCGTTGAGGATGCTGAAGGCAAAATTATATCTCAACCTGCGGAATCGGTGGAAGCGGTCAAGGAACACTTCAGAACTATATTCTGCGACCAGGCACTAGCAACAACTATGTTGGAGAGGAGTGAAATGCCACTGAACCGATCCATAATGACTGAGGAGGTGTCCAAGGCTGCAAAACGTTTAAATAACGGCAGAGCATCCGGCCCCGATGGAATCCCGGCTGAGCTCCTGAAGTATGGGACGCAATCACTGCATGATAACATAGCCACATTATTCAATAATTACGCTAAAGATCAACGCATCCGGCCTGGTGATGGTATATTGGTCCCGCTGCCGAAACCGGGCAAGAAGAGAGGTCCTCCAGCAAATTTGCGGCCAGTTACCCTTCTAAATACACTACGCAAGCTACTGTCTCTAATCGTATTGACGCGTATTAAGCCGGCAGTTGATCAATACCTCTCGCCCTGCCAGAGCGGATTTCGCAGCGGGAGAAGTACAGCGGATGCTGTGTACTCCTACAGATGGTTGGCAGCAAGATGCCAAAGAGTAAAGGAAGATATCGCCATTTTGGGAATTGATATGTCGAAAGCCTTTGACACTATTTCAAGACCAAAGCTCATGAACATGCTGGAGACTATTGTGAACCGGGACGAATTACATCTTATTCAGTGCTTACTTACGGATACCACCATTAAAGTACGGCTAAACAACATCCTGAGCCAGCCACTTGAAACATACAATGGGACTCCACAGGGAGATTCTCTGTCGCCGGTATTGTTTACGATATACCTGGAAGCTGCGTTAAGAGAGGTACGAAACCGTCTACCACCGCGACCAGACCGAGACGTCCAGCTGCTTCTGCCCGGAGAGTCGGAATATGCAGATGATGTGGACTTCATCAGTACCGACCAAAAGTATCTAAAAGATTGCCTTCCTACAATATCCTCTTCGTTAGCAGAGTGGAACTTGAAGATGAATGAGGGGAAGACGGAACACACCATGATAAGCAGACAAAAGGATCGAATAGAGGAACAGTGGCGACACACAATAAAGCTGGGCTCGATGCTTGGAGTGGATGAGGACATAGGCAGACGAAAGCGGTTGGCTACAAGCGCACTTCACCGGATGTGGGTGATATGGCTGAGAGGGCAACACATCAGAGAGTCCCTACGAGTGCGCCTCTATAATAGATTCATTCTACCAATCCTGCTTTATAACTGTGGCACGTGGAGTCTCACGGGGACACAGGAGCGGAAATTGGACTCGTTCCACAGGCAGCAGCTGCGAACAGTGATAGGCATTAAATACCCGCTCATAATAAAGAACACTTCCCTGTATAAACGCACAGAATCTCGCCCCGTGAGCCAAATCATCAGAGATGCTAGATGGAGGCTGTTTGGTCATGTGCTGCGTTTGGAAGAGGCAGCCCCAGCCAGACGTGCCATGGGAGCTTACTTCTTAGGGGGTAACGGCCCCAGCTTTAGGGGACGCCCAAGAACAACGCTCCCGCGAACGCTCAATAATGATCTCAAAAAGCTGAAAAATAATACCGCCCTAGAGACTGGCGATGACTTGAACATGCTGCAGCAGCTTGCCCAAGACCGTCGACAGTGGCGGGAACTGGTGAAGGCTGTATGTAGCTGCTAATGAAACAATGGACATAATTTATACCTTTATATATAGATAATGGAAATGACTGCAACAGGCTGCAGCAGCTCGCCCAGGATCGCCCTCAGTGGCAGGACCTGGTGAAGGTTGTATGTAGCCGCTAATGCAACAATGGACATAACTTTGCGTTTCCATCTTGTCTTTTTGTGATTGTGATGCTTGATGTGCACTGTGCTTCCTCGCATTCACTTGCTCCTTCTTGCAGCTTGTCTCTTTTTTCTGTTTTTGTTTTTGTTTTTGTTTTGTTTTGACGCTCTGTGTGCATTGCGCTTCCTCGCGCTCACTTGCTCCTTCTTGCGGCTTAAGCGAAGGCTATATGTGAGCTTTATAAGCTCACTGATGCTAACGCGAATAGAGCATAATAATAATAATAATAATAATTAGAATAATAGTTTTATTGTATATTTGTGGATTTCCCAAAGACATAGTCTAAATTGAAGGGAGTTCCATTATAATGGGAGGCTGTAGAGTGGAGATAGCTAACAGTGGTTCCAGAAAAAAACGCACTTGACATGAGACGCCTAAAGGCATGAGCATGTAGACTTACTTGGCACTAGGACACTCCCTGTCGACAGCAGCCTGTATCTCAGATACCTGTTCGTGATGGAAGTACACAAGGAGCGGCATGAACCAAAAACATTAATAAGAATAATCGAGTCGTCGGGTCCGGGTCTTAAGGTGGCAGACTACCCAAAAATTCATATTGAGTGCTACGTCATTTGAAAGAGCATGAATAGTTGCAAATTCTCTGAAAATTGTGTCCCTATCTGACCAGCCGTTCAAGAGTTATGGCCGAAAATGTGCCCTTGCAAGGAGAGATTTTTTTGTTGCATGCTGTCATTTGTTGGCAGCACTGTATTTGAATGTGAGCAGACCGTGCGCAACTTGTCGTATTATGGAAACACGCGAAAGTGTGCAGAATTTTGCCCTAAGTCCAAAAAAGTCCAAAAAATCACGTTAAAAAACCACGTATTGGCCGTGCAGCAGGACTTTTGCCAGCACCCTCGTGACGTTGCAGATATGTGGCTTGATTATTGTAGTTGACGTTGATTTAGTGACTTTGGCAAGTTTGAGTCGTGTCAAGAAGTCAGGTAGGATTCAGTACTAGGTAGTAGTGAAACGTGAGTGGCAGTCTTTGCCGGTTTCTGAGGGCATCCTGGATTTGGTGTGCAGCGCTGTGGAGGTCCCAGCACTGGATGTTGTATCAAAGGTACGACCTCGTAGCACGTGCTAAACCTAAAAAAATTCAAAAATTGACTTGGGTCTGTGGGAGTCCGTGAGAGAACGCCCACTCGTTCCGTTGTGACAGATTCCAGGGCCACGTTGAGGGGCCCTACCCCACCACCCATGGCTGCTTCTGGACTTGTTTTAGGTTTGGGTCCCGCGCACGGACAGAATGGGCACGAAAATGTGAAAAAATGTAAATGCATTTGTTTGGTTCCTGGGGTGGCTCGCACACCGTGGCACTATGCCGGAAATTTGAGTTTTTCCGGCCTGGAAAGCCTGTCAGTGAGGCGCAAGAACTTGTAAATCATGTCCTGAGGGCCAGCATAGTGGCAGGAGTGTGTGGTCAAAATTTCACTCAAATCCACTGAGAAACACCAAAGTTACGGTCAATTGAATGCCATATGAAATTTATGGGTAGGCTGCCCCCTAGGGCGGGCAGGATGAAAACCTAGACTTTCATTACGATTGACTTTGCGATGTATAATAAAGAATATATACATACATTGACAGCCTTCCTGATGAATAGAATGAATGACCTGAGCTTAAAACACTCTCACCCTTGTGGCGCTTGCCAGATGCACACTCATTGCGGAGCCCTCTCCAGGCGTTCCCTCTGTATCTTCAAGATGCTGCCAAGTGAAGATAAACTCTTGACCGGACACATTGACGAACGATCTGTCAGTAGTGCATATCAAGAAAAAAACATTCCGGAGAAAATGTTGAACGGTCTCTGCTGGGATGACGGCTACACCATAGCTCAGTGGTTAGAGTCCTGGTGGTAACAGTCAATTTTTGCTTCAGACTTTCCCGTTCGCGTCCTTCCCTCAAACAAGTTTATTATAATTATGACTTCGGGCTCCCTGCGTGCTAGTATGTACGTGAGGTGTGTGGGTTACAGTGAGGGCTGCGTCCCATCCGCCGCGCCTGCGTCTTTCCCTCAAACCGGTGAAAAATAATAATATTACATTAATATTTTTAAAGGGTCGGCGTGGAGGTTTAATTACTTATGCTGTTATAAAATGTTCTATTGTTGTACACAGTACCCTCAGTTCCGATACTATTCACTGATGAGCGGAACACGAAAATCGATTTTGAATAACATAAAAATCCTTAAAAATTCCATGAACTCGTTGTTGTCTGGCCATGTCTGCATCGATTATACTCCTAATTGCATTAATATTTTTTTGCGCCTTTCCCTCAAACCAGGGAATAATGTTCAGTTGTTGATAAAGATCAATGATGTCAGCTCTTCCGGAAACACTGCATGATAGCGACATGTTTTTGATCAAGATCAGTGGGAGAGATTGAAATGGGGACGCACGATGGGCTAATGTTTCAATGGATCGCATATTGCTTCTAATTCGCAATCGAGTTGGTTAGGCGGCGGTCACATTTACATTCTGAACACTTTTCAACCATTCAGTCGAAGACGCGCGGAACCATTCCGCCGAGCGTTTTTTAATTAATTGTAGCGTCTTTCAGCCAAAAAATGTCGAGCTTCCAGACGCATTCAGCCACAGCCCACAGCGTTTCGATCATGCTTTTCAGTGAGTTTGGATCGATCGTTCAATGCTCTTTCTCCCGTGATGTTTACTCAGTCATCCTTTTCACTGAGATGAGTGTCCTCTCCACCATATCTACTAAGTTCTGGCGCATGGACTCTGCAGCCAGAGGCGAGACCTGTTGTGAAGTTGACCGATTGAATTGATCTCTCAAGACCAGAATCGTGAAAAATAGAGGTTTGATGATCGTCGTCAGCTCAGGAAAGCCTACAAAGTCGTCGAAGAAGAGCATGGCTCTCATTGGTTACATCTGGATCCCTTTCCTTTCGAAAATAACGCATGAAGTATCTCGGATTGAGAAAAATCTCAAAGCAGGTGGTCTATTTCAGAGTAAAAATAATTAGAGAATTTGAAAAATTCGAAAACATTTGAAACATTTTCAGTCATTCTGCTGGCGCTGGGAATGCAGTGTGACCAGACAGTCAGCTAACTGGTGCTGAAAGCGCAAAGAGCGTTTCAGCTGGTCAGCCAACATCTCGTGCAGTGTGACCTCGCACTAAGAAAGCGTAACTGGGTATTGCTAAGAATGTAATGTTGCCATAATGACTGAGCTGCGCTGCAGGTGTACACGTGCATACAACACAGTGGCAGCAATAGCGCCTGTTTGACTTACCGATACAGCGGAATTCGAAACTGGAAATTTGATTAGGACGTTCCGAAGACAGTGAAAAAAACAGAAACAACAAATCACGCAAAATCCTGGATTAGGAAAGGCGAATTAACACGAATGTAAAAGGCTATAAACAATCCTTGGGTTGAACCGTTCTCTGGCTAGACAGTGAACACTGATATTTTTACTGCACTAAACATCTAGACAAGCAGCGAGAATTACAATCATGCACGTGCGAGGACTCGTTTGTGAGTGGTTTATTTTTATTATTATTATTATTATTTATTACTTGCGTGTACGCGTTGGAGTCAACCATGCGAGCATGATTCACAACTTCGCTTATGCTGAACATGATAAACAGGACTATGACAGGGGAAAAATTGAGCTAGAACGATGGTATAATTATGATAATTATATCATAATATTATAGTGAAGTGGTTTATGCTACGACTAATGTCAATGCTTGCTTGTGCGTGTAAGAAATCAGGGAGAAAGCGATCTTTGCTTGTTTCTGCAATACAATCGTAACCGGCTCAGCACTACACTCTACTGCTGAACTAAAGCATAGAGCTGGAAATCAGATACAGCGCTAGCGCTAGGAATCGACAACGGATACTACATACTACCTACATTGTACTGAAGTACCTACATTGTAGCATAAAATGTGGACTTTTGGGGCTGGAATTGAACATACCACCTACTTTGTCGCATAAAATGTGGACTTTGGGGGCTGAAATAGAGCTAGCATAAAGGCTTCATATTTAGTCGAAACTAGCATAAGTCATTGGATTCTCACGCTCAGTGAAACGCTATTGCTACAGTACATGTATAATTATGTGCATTGCCTTCCTTCTCCTCACACGACCCCTTGGAAATCACCCGATTCCTTCTTATACTGACGGCATATTCTTCTACTTCGCTTCCGTCCTCTACACATTCTCGCTAATCCTTTTTATACTCGTAACTGAAAAGAGAAACAAAAACCTGGTGGGGTTAGCATATTTTCTCTTTTCAGGCAGTTCACTTCCCTAACAGACCCTTTGAATTTGAAGTTCTCCCAATCCTTTCAAAATATATGACTTGGATCTATTCACCATTACTGCTATGAGGAAAACCATTTCTGTGCTACAGTCTACATAGGTTCTTACCTCACGTCCATCTACCACGACAAGTAGATACTTCCCAATGTCATATAAGCGGCCGGGCTCCTGGCCCTGCCTTGCTTGGAACTATACGCGAACATATACACAGGTTATAAAGAGGAATCGGGAAACGGTAGAGATGATGAGAAAAAATGTCCTATTCAAGTCCTATTAAAGTGGAGAGACCCAACACCCAATATGTCCAAGATGATTTTAGGTTGCGCTCACACGAAAAGAAAGAAAAATGCAAGAAAGGTTGCACTTTGTGCAGAAAAGGCACAATGACTCGAGCGCTCACACGTACAACGGTTGCATTCACGATTAACAAAAACACACTAGTCCGCGAGCAAATCAAATATTCCTGTGGATCGCCGTCAAGTGCTCTCTTCAGTGTGGAGAAGCTGATGGATGACCGACATGCTGCCTTTGTGATTTTCTAACTGAGAAACAACGCGAGTGACCTGCAGCTCACGTAGAAATTTGGAGTTGACGTGCAATTGCGCGTCACATCGGAAATAACGTGCATCTAAACGTCTCTAATGTGAGTATGACCTGCTTTCCAATGGTTTTGGTGTCATTAGTTTACAATCCTCAATAACAAATTCTATAGAAGTCAGTATTTCTCACCTCGAAGAGTTTGAAGGTGCACCGCGCTGACAAGGGTTTCAGCACTCTAAATAGGGTAACTTGGTCCAGCTCAGGAGGCGCTTCATCAAGAAACAAAATAGTAAAGTTGCATTCACAAAAATCGTAAATACCAGAGGATACCCGCAACCAATAAAATTAATAGTCCAGGAGCAAGACACATCTTGTCCCAGCGAGCTACATCATTTTTACACTTTGTGAATATGGTGTGCCTCTCTCCCCTCGCTTTCGCCTCCCGGAGGCTTGTTAGTAGTACTTCCGAATGGTAGTTAGACGCTTGGATGGCCCAAAATTTCCAAATTGTACACTGACTGTGCTAAGCAAAAAAGAGAGAGAGTAAACGTTCATGTGTGTACTTTTTCAACGGCCGAATACAGCTGCTTACCATCTTTAAAGGCAACATTGCCTGTTGGGAAATCCCTAACAAAATAAGAAAAGAAAAAAATAATAATCTGGTTGTGTCAGTACTAGCTGTCAAAAGAGCCTGATGATATTCAAACACAGTTGACAAAACATTCACTAGTTGAGAGAATAGAGAAATGGAAAAATCGGAATAAAAAATTGACTTTTTCTCAAAAAATTGACTGCCACCACTAAGACTCGAACCAGGGACCTTCACTTAATTAAGGCCAGTGATGCTCTAACCACTGAGCTATCGTGTAGTAGTAGTATCTGTCATCCCAGCAGAGACCGTTCAACATATTTTTCGGACTTCGAAACTCATGCTTCTTGTGAACGCTGTATATGACATTGAATATAATACAGCTACATATACATGTGTATACATTGAATATAAGGCAGCTAAAAGCGTGCGCGCATTGTCCTGGCTACCTCTGAGCATTGCTCGTTATTAGATTCGCAATATGTATTATGCCTATCATTGGTATGCGTCATCCTGGGCATGTCTCAAAGAAGGCCTTAGAGGGAAGATGCGGGACCGATCCCCTCAACATCTCCGTATCGTACGGTTTGGTGACATGCTTGGTTTACCCTCCAATTTCCCCTCTCAGCCCACCGTAGACATGTCCAGTGTTGCTAAATGAAATCCAGTCGCGTCACTCAAGCACGCGCCGGGCGTTGCGCAGCCCTAGACCTGCGAACGCTGGGCTGCGAAATGATGCGAGGCGCAAACCTGAGTGACGCCACTGGATGCCATTGAGCAGCGCTGTATCTCCAGCAGCGTACAATTGAAGGGACGTTTTGGTCCACCCTCGCACCATTTTCGCAACTACCAGCACAGCCGAACTCACTCGATACAAGTACATGTACAAGTATGACATTAATTTTGTACTTTATCCTGAGCGTCACAAGGTACGTAAGAATACCCAGCTTACATCACGAAAGCGATGTGAAATATGCTTAAACACAATGCAGTGTACTACACAAGAAACCAAATATCTTTCCCGTTACAGTGCTCCCAGTTTCATGTTCAAAAACACTCATACGCTTTGCCCTTGGTGACCAGCGAAGCATTGTTGCAATCGTGTGCTTCCAACTGCGTGAAATAGTATTGGACGATTCGCATTGTTGCGACAAGAGAATGAAGAAATCTGAGAGCCTTTGAATTTAGCGTCATCACCCCGCTTTGCAAGTATAAGGAATGGAGAATTTTGCCCTCCTCAGCACACTGAACTTACAACATGACCATGTATTATGTGCTACACACACTTGAGAGGGACGAAAAGCGTTTCTTCTGTAACTCTGAGTTTCACGGTTTTAACCGATCATCAGACAGCATCATCAGATGTGCTATTCAACTTACAATTTTCCTTTTCGCCACCGCCGCAAATGCACATAATTTATTCAATCAAGTCGTGGTCAAGTGCTGGACAGTTGATCAGAAGACAAAAACGTAATGCAGAATCCAGCATTATAATAATTATAATAAAATTCTTCTGACATAATAAAACCAGCATCATCGGAAACTTGAGTTCAAAGTGCATGCCGCCGCCATCCTACTTACAAACCCCAGATAACAAATATTATTTTACTGATGATTCGAAGACAGCACTACAGAAGGATGACCAGCTGTGGCTGCTGCGTACATCTATTGGCTTGAAACTTGCCTATAGTCCCACGAGCGTGCCACAGTTGAAAAGCTAAGGTTTATGTCCGTAGCTATGCAAAGGACGCTACGTCTGGCGCTAGGCAGGGTACACACAGCTTCAATTTATTGGAAGGGGGGGGGGCATCCATATGAGAAAGTCAAAGATGTTGGTTTCGTGGCTTGGTAACTGAGAACACACTTTGTGAATGAATCTTACCTCTGTCTCAAGGTGAAAGGCAAAGCTTGCTATTGATTACATGAGCAAACGCGATGCTAGCCTTCTTCTTTGTTTAGTTGAAACAAGGCGGCTTCGCTGGTTTTGCGAGCGCTATTTTCCCTTGTACTTAAGTGTACGATGGTATGAAAAACATCATGAACATATCTATGTACACCTTCTATACGCACCTGTCTTCCAGCTTACTGGCTCTGATAATACAAACCCCGACATTCACGACACAGCGCACTGTTGAAACCGAAAAGAAAGGATATACTGGCCTGGTTGAGGTGGGTCTGTCCATTTGATTTTTTCCTTCAGCGGGTAAGATAAAGATGAACAACGGAAATATTTCGGGCAAAAGCCCTCAGAAGAGCCCAGACAAGAAAGCCTCCAAGTCAGCAGCAAAGAAAAAGGTGACTATTAGAGAAGATATTAAAGTCACGCGGTTCCCGAACCACGAGGCGCCAAACCAGGCAAAAGTCCAGGGACAAGATTTCAAGACGAGTATCGCGTTTCAGGAGTGGGCGCGCGAACAGACTGGCAGCGTACGTAACTGCGCACCGGCACTCAGGCAGATAGATGACGAGCGCTTCAACCCTGAATACGCTGAAAAGCAGGCCCGCATGGACCAAGGACTGCCACTGATCTGGGAAGATGACGACTAGGAGTGACCCCCGCAGGAGTATTCTTATTATAGCTGCTTCGCCGAAGTTCGCTGGTAGCGGCGGGAACATGGATGAGGCAGTCCTTTATTTTAAAACTATATTGGCATGAAGAGGAACAAGTAGAGTGAGTACAATCTCATGATTTCGCTCCACTAGGTGTAAACATGCCTTGACTAGAAATGTATTATGCCTTTGTTGATCGAATAAAGAGCACGAAAACAGTCATGGTTATGGACTCGTGGTTAACTGTCATGATGTACTCGCATGATCTTTGGTATGGTATTGATTTATTTGAATTCGGTGTCTCAACAGTACATTGTACAACTTGGGAAGATCCGAATGACATAGATACATAAACATAAAAGTGGAGTAGGTGCTACAGCGGATCATTTTATCGCAGATTGTTACTCGCATGATCAAGACGAAATTTAAGTGATGGGAGAATATGTCAGTGGACTGCTTCATGCAGGATTTTATGTTGGGGTTTGTGTATCTCTAGACCGATATTGATGCGGCTGGAATAGCAGGGATGGGTGCTAGTGCCTGTGTGAAAGATTTTGTTGCTGACTATGACCAACTAACCCAGATTTTGAACAGTCAGACGTTCACAATTTAGCACCAGACTGGCAAGTAGTAATGAGACATTCCACAGCAAGGAAGTGACCTTCAGCACTGCTCAATAGCGCTAACCACTGACCTTCCAACTTGGAAAAGGTCATAGATATTAGTGATAATTCCACAGAGGGGAAGGTAAGCGCCATCAAACCGAACGCAAGCCACATTCCCAGTCAAAATGGAATGCTGGCTTGTTACGATACTGGAACGGTAAGACCATTGGACAACACGTCTAACAACAATTCGACAATGCAAAGCAACAACCACCCAACTTGGGAGGCTCAATTTTGTCATGGATAAGAAATGAAAGGGAAGCATAACTTGTGACCCAGTGTTTTCAATGTTTCCTATTAATGTTGTCATTGGTTCACCATCCGAGTACATAATATCAAGATTCTGTCAATCTCAGCATTCTGAAACACATTCCAAATAAGCATACACTATAATTATAGTACTTCGAAGTATACTGCTATAGTTTAGGGAATTGTGTTATAGTTTATCCTTTATATTAAATCTTCTTACCACTCGTTGTGATGTGTTTGTATTTTGTGCTATTCTGATCCGGCGCGCTCAGGTAATGGGGAATCAGATGATAATTGATATGGAAGAACGACCGCTGATAGATTGGACGCAATCGACGGAATAGGGGACTATTTCAGGGGGACTTGTTCGAAAATACCAGGTTTTCCTGGCTGGAAATTTTGTAGTTTTTCTCATTCTCGCAAAATACGAGTTAGCCTAGTTGCTTACGTCGAACCCGTAGGCCATATAGGCACTGTTCCACGCAAACATACACGCATACACACACAGTGATTAAACGAAGGGCATAGGGGCCTTTCCAATTACAGTACCACTTCTTGTCCAGAACAAATCGCTATGTCCAAAACCTCCTTTTCGGGTACATTATTGAGATTTCCCTGTGCTGCGCTGATGAGTCCACAAAGGACGGAACAGTTCGGTCCGCAGATTGAGTTATTGAATTTGAATTCCTTATTTTATGTGTCTGTCTGTTACGCCATCGGCTCGGCGAGTCATTCTGAATTTCGCTGATAAAGGGAGTGAAAAGGAATGTGCGTAAGGGAGAGACAGAGGAAGAGAGAGAGAGAGAGCGAGAGAGAGAGAGAGAGAGGAATAGAGAGAGAGAGAGAGAGAGAGAGAAAGGCGGAGTGAGAGAGGAGAGAGAAAGAGATAGAATAAGATAGAAGATAGATAGATAGATAGAGAGATAGAGAAAGAGAGAGAGACAGAGAGACAAAGAGCTCTCTCTCACACACACATACTCTCTCTGACTGTATTTCTCTCTCTTTCTCTCTTTCCCTCTCCGCCTCTCTCTCTCTCTCTCTCTCTCTCTCTCTCTCTTTCTCTCTCTCTCTCGGTTAGTCATTCCTCCCCCCCCCCCCCCATGGTGCTTGCCGTGTGCGCCAACCCCGAGGCCCTTGGTCGGGGAAGTCCACGCACCTCACCAGCGCAGCTCATGTACAGCCTACAGACCCATTGTTGTTGTTTGTGTTTTGCCTTTGTTTTGTTTTCCCTTCTTCTGTAAAAGAAAAGAGAGACAAAGAGTTAGGGTTTAAATCCTCTCGGAAAAGTTGGAGACTCTCCGAAAAGAATATAAGAACTCACCCTTTAGAGTGTAGTCTACAACACAGTCGGGTACCGTACCATTTTACGCGATTGTCGTACGCGAATACATATTGGTGGTACGGTGCAGCATACTCACTGCTTTCGCGACATACTTTGGTACGCACAATCTCCGCGCTCTGATTATACATGAAGGTGTTTATACGGGACAACGAGTTGTATCTCTCAGGAATCATGCAGCGTGCTGCGTGGGCCGAACTGTTGTTCTGCGCGAGTCCAAACAGACCGCAGATGAATCAGCCCGTAGATACAGGCTGGACATAAAGAAGTAGGAAGAAGATGGCGGCAGTATCTGCTCCCAATGCAGCTGCGAAGAAAACTGTAGTATTCAGCGACAGTGCCGTGATGCTGTTCTGGCTGGACGTTGGCCTTTCCCCGGTAGCCATTGCGGATTTGGAGGAAGTTGCGGCGTGCGGAATGGTGCCTACTGAATTCGGCATTGCCGACATGCGGCCTTCTATGAATCCAGAATGGCAAGTGTACGAGAGACGAACCAGTGTGCTCTCAGCCGCTCAAAGGAGGTCTGCAGGAATTGCACTTGGTCAAGTCGACGTCTTCGACACAGCCCGTAGCCAGATCAGTCCGAAAGTGCACGCCCTCAACTACAGGCAGCTGCTGCGGAAATCTCGCATCAAAAGTTCAAGCTCTATCTTGAAGACAAAATGAATCGGAGCACCCAATCGCTTCAACCAATTCCATGAAAAGGCTGATCACATCATTATAACAGTTAGCATTACGTCATGTTTGCATGTGTCGTCTGTCTCATACCGGTACATCCAGGCTTACGCTGTGCCAACCTCCTGTTAGTTGCCTCTTGCTGTGCTAATGAAAAGAGCCTGACGATCTATTCACATCGTATCGTAAATCTTCAGCATTCTGGAAAATATTCTGTTGAACTGTACCGTTTGATTGAAAGGAATGATAACAATTCTGTGATCACTTTCTTACAAATAAAGATAATACCTAAACCTGTATTTTTTTGGTGGAAATGTGTGTGCTCGTCAGGTGTGATGTGTGTCCTGCCTGGTACCCGCCACCTAAGCAAAGGGCACAGAAAGTGCGGAACGGAGACTCCCTCGATTTAGGCTAAGACCTGGAGAGAATCCATAAATACAAATACAAAAACAACGGTGGGGGCTCATCCGATAAGAATTGTCCTGCACCTTCAGCACTCTAGTGCGCTTCACTCAGTTCTGAAAATGTTAGAAACCCTGAAGGAGATAATCCTGACATTTCGCAAAACAAATATTTGGGAATACCCGAGCGTACATGTACATGACTTCCCTGAATGGCAGCTAGACAGAATCACGCGGCGGCAGTTGCGATATTTTTTTAGTCTTCAAAACCCAACTACACCAAGCGAAATATCGCATACTTTTCCTGAATAGCCATCTTTCCGCCATGCACTGCATATACAATGCGTTCACTACCCTATTGAAATACATGTTTCGTGAATATTGTTTTGAACTTTGGGTCATCCTAATAAAGTTATTATTTTTATATTATTTTTGAAAGGATTGAGAGAACATCAAATTCAAAGTATCCGTCGGGGAAGTGAACTGCCTGCAAAGAAAAGAAACCGCCAGACCCACCAAGACTCGAGCCCTGGACTATGCTTATCATGAGCAATTCTCTAACCATTGAGCTGTGGGACCAAGCCGAACATATTGTATTACTATTATTATTAACAATAAGAGGACGAAAAAAGTGTTTTAACTCTGAGTTTCACGCACTAAGCGATCATCAGAAAACAGCAGTGAGTAAATCTGGATCAGTACTGGTTGATATACCCACAAAGCAAAGTGTAAATGACTGCATCATGGCGCAAATCTAAAAGATGCGAATGAAAGCAGTGCAAAGTTTAATGTTCTGCTGAATATTGTTTTAAATGAATGCACAACTATTGAGTACTGGCAATGATTAGTATCGTGCACGCGTTCAGAATGAAGCAAGAAGAGTCACGTGTGTGTGTGTGTGTGTGTGTGTGTGTGTGTGTGTGTGTGTGTGTGTGTGTGTGTGTGTGTGTGTGTGTGTGTGTGTGTGTGTGTGTGTGTGTGTGTGTGTGTGTGTGTGTGTGTGTGTGTGTGTGTGTGTGTGTGTGTGTGTGATCTCCGGTAACCGGGAGCTGTCCCGGAAATACAGGGAGCTGGGTTTGAATCCAACTCGTCGAT